GTATACTCTCCCATAATGAATATCATTAAAAGTTCCGCTACATAATTGGCAAAATAATAAATTTAGATATGCAGCTTATTAAAGTCATGACCTAGAAATTTTGGGTCATTAGACACTAATGTTTATATGAAAATCTTTGACGGATTTATACTTCTCAAAAATGAAAGAGAGTAAATATCACAACACGTTTGTTGTTGAAGTACAATTGCTTTTCAAAAATTAAAGAGAGTAAACATCACAACACGTTTGTTGTTGAAGTACAATTGCTTTTCAAAAATGAAAGAGAGTAAATATCACAACACGTTTGTTGAAGTATAATTACTTTACTCAAACTTAAAATAGTGAAGCAATTGATTGAGTAATTTCCTCTTAAAATTGGAAATTATAGAAATAAATATGTACCATTAGGTACTTATTAATGGGCTTATTGTAAAATAAAGGAGATGGAAAATCAAGTATTACATCGACCTGTAGATCGAGCATTTCCTTGAAAGGAATTTTACATACAATTTAGTCTATGTCCAAATAATCTCCCGAAGTAGATAAATGACCATTTTAACCTAAAAGGATAATTCAGGACCAGAAGTCCGTTGCTTCAAAATATCATTTTTTGAATACCTTTTCTTTGAGACAGAAAATTTCCAAATTCACATCATATTTTTGTAATTTGTAAAGAGTGATTTGGTGATTCTCCTAGAAAGAAAAGGAAATGATGTTAAATAATATCCATTAATATCCTTAAGGTATAAAATACGTCTTTTGAGAAGTCATTTGAATATTGACATTATGTTAAATGACATGACTTGGATTTATATATTATAAATCAATTTAAGCTTTAAAGCATCTTAATGCCTAAATGATAATACTTGTTCTTATAGATGTACTTTGTACATTTTCATCTCATCATTACTCTACTATGCTCTCCCTTTGTTATAGCGACTGTTAAGTTATGAGATGAGATCAGGGATAGCAAGTCAAGGTACAAATATTCATATTAATATTTTTTGACATGAAGTCATCATACTTGGATAAATAAACGTATATAGTTTTCATGATATAAACTCCAGAGGAGTGATAAAATATTTGTCCAGAAGATTTGCTCCAGTGATAAGTTAGCAAATGTATACCTACAAAATATCCATAAGATTGATATGCGTAGGTAAAGAAAATTATTATATTTAGGGGGAGCAACAAAATATAAACTATAAATAATTTTATTAGTCCAGATGGTCATGAGAAAATATTATCAATTCTAAAAGACAATCCTAAAGATTGTACCATATCCCTTCTCCACACCCTTTTGAAACAATGATTTTACTTTAAGCAATGTAGAATTTGAAGATTGTTATCTTCAGGGGGAGACATGAAGTACATTCACTCGAGTCACTCTATTGATCAATCCTGTAGATTGGGTCTTAAAAGGACTAATAGCTGCACTTTTTGCAGCGTGTATATTCACTCGAATCAATTCTGTAGATTGGATCTTAAAAGGACTAATAATTATATTTTTTGTAGCATATACATACCATGTACTCTTTTCCTCACTAGGTTTTTCCCAATGGGTTTTTCTAGTGTGGTTTTCAACAAGGCACGAGTATAATATAGTAATGTCAATTGGGTGTTGCAAATATATAAATACTTAAATAGACGAACTCCAAAATCCTGAAGATTATGCCTTGAAGGTTTACAGTTGTACTCTTTTTCCCTTAACTAAGTTTTTCCCACAGGGTTTTCTTAAGCTAAGGTTTTTAATGAGGCAACCCATACCATATATGATTCTGGAAATATCATGTACTCTTTTCTTCAACTAGGTTTTTTCCACGTGGTTTTCATAGTGAAGTTTTTAACGAGACATGAATGTTTTTAAATATACTATTGGTATACCTTGCACTCTTTTCTTGTTTAGGTATTTCCCACAGGGTTTTCCTAGCAAGCTTTCAATGAGGCAAGATTATGACAAAATAATGTCCAATGGGGAGTGTTGTAAAATCTAATTATGGACATTATTCTAGCATTAATGATATGATTGGTAACGGCTTTATATTTATGGTATGATCTTGTAATAGCTGTTATATATATTGATGTAATGATGTACAGAGTGGAATGATGAATAAGAAATCGCTTTTCTCTGTTCTTTATCTTCTTCTTGTTCTTATTGTTCTTCGCGAGCTAAAGGCCTGCAAACAAACCTGCAATACAACAAATTTAAATAATTGTATCAATTTTAAGTTATTTCTCCCTTTGTCCTTTTACACAAATACATATGTTTTTATAGACCGTTACTCTTCCGATACAATCATTGTTGTGTGTACCATCACATAAACTGAGTGGACCATATTTTATATATTATAAAATAATATATATTTAATTCAAAAATACTGAGTGGACCATATTTTATATATTATAAAATAATATATATTTAATTCAAAAATAATGTACTTTTAGTATATTAAAAATATATTTTGTATTTAGAGAAAATATATTATTTAAATTCTAAAAATATATTATTTTATATAATGTACATTTAGTACCCAAATAATGTACTTTCTTTTGTGATCCACACAACACTATGTGGACCATGGTCCACACAATAATTTCATTAATTTGCAAATGATTGGGCTTAGAAAAGTTACGGGCTTGTTAAAATTCCGAGTCGGGTTGGTATGATAATATTGGGCTCCCATGTCATGGAGCAATTGTTATATCATGGACTAGGATTCATATTGCATTGTGAACCCTACTACAAAAATTCTATACCTTTTGTCACTACATTCTGTACTTACAGTTAACAGTTTCTATACATATAAACAAATACCTTGATAGTTGCTGACACATAATATGAAACTACATGTACAAAAACTATCAACTTAAAGTACATAATGTGTCAACTATAGATACAGAATCTGACTTGATAATTGCTGACACATAATATGATAGCTACAGATAAAGAAACTATCAACTGCAGGTACAAAATGTGTCAACTATAGATACAGAATTTAAATGTTATTTTTGAACTAAGGTTTACAATGCAAGGTAGACCTTGATCCATGGAATAATTTGCTATCATGGGGAGTGATTTTTTAAAGTTTTTTGTTTTTTGTTTTATTTTTAAATGGATTCCCGTTGTAAGGCGAGTATGTTGATTTTCATTGTAATTTAGAAAAATAAAGAATTTTTTGTTTATTTTTTTAATAACTCAGGCTTTTCAATTTCGTCGAACTATATCCTGTACGAGGTTTTAGGCAATATAATTTCAAGATTCAACACCAAATTATACATTTTAGTACACAAAAAATTTGACCCAAATCTAAACCTCAAACGTTAGTCTCTCCTATCATGCCATTGTAATAGAGTAAATACCAACCAAGGTCCCTCGAGTTTGGTGGTTTCACCACTTATAGTCCCAAACTTCCGTAATTACCATCTGTGACCCTTCGAGTTGCGAAAACTGACCTGCAACCGTCCTTCCGTTAATTCCTAGTGTCTAAACTGTCAAAAGTAGGGGTAAATATGTCATTTTCCATATAATTAACATGCATTCACAAATTAAAAAATCACAAAATACCTTCCACCGATCTTATTTTTCGTTTGACCACAGCATTCAATCGGTTTGCCGACGGCATTCGATCGGTTTGACGATGGCACATTGAATATAGTTCAGATCAGCCCATTTTTCTCGACGACAGACATGTAACTTCTCACCGTCTCTTTCGTCAGACGTTATGCCATGGAACCGTGTTCACCATTCATGGTGAACACGGTTCCAACGGTGTTAGTGCACCGTTATCTTTTTTTTTTTTTTTTTTTTTTTAATTAATTAATTACGTGACTGTCTACACATTCACTTTGGAACCATGCCTACACATTCACTTTGGAACCATGAGATTATGAATTTTCTGTTATGAGATTATGAATTTTCAGTTATGAGATTATGAATTTTCTGTTATGCGATTATGAATTTTCTGTTATGAGATTATGAATTTTCATTACATTCATAATTTCGGAGTTTCGGACATTCATAAATTATGAATTCATGCATGCACATTCACTTTGGAACCATGCCTACATATTCCCGTCCGAAATCACGGACATTCATAAATTATGAATCCATGCCTGCACATTCACTTTGGAACCATGCCTACACATTCACTTTGGAACCATGAGATTATGAATTTTCTGTTATAAGATTATGAATTTTCTGTTATGAGATTATGAATTTTCAGTTGTGAGATTATGAATTTTCAGTTATGCGATTATGAATTTTCAGTTATGCGATTATGAATTTTCAGTTATGCGATTATGAATTTTCAGTTATGCGATTATGAATTTTCTGTTATGAGATTATGAATTTTCATAAAATTCATAATCTCATAACAGAAAATTCATAATTTGATCAGTAACGCGCCGTTAACTCCACATTCGCGATTTTTTTTTTTTGCCTAAAAACGACGTCGTTTTGACTTGTGTTCACCATTCTCGGTGAACACGATTCCACGGCATAATTTGCGCTCTTTCGTAGTCATGTCCTGTAGTACGGCTGAAGAGCGGTTTCTCCGCCGTTTGAGGCGGCAGCTTGGGTAAAAACTCGAACCCCATTCCCCCCAGCCACCGCTCATATATGTCTTCATCTTACACAAAGTCCACTTAATTATTCGTATTGTTCTTCTTTCTAATTTCAAGAAATTGATTGCAAAACCTCTAAACCACCAGGGGCTTTTTCTGTGGGTTCCCTTTCTGGTGGCAAATCAATGACTTCTTCAATGCTAAGTGGAATGCGCCAACTGGGTTACATTTTCTTGGCTTAGATTTCCACCCCAACCCTTTACACACAAGGGTCTTGTGAGCTTAACCCATAGAGACGTGAGGGGGTAAAGAAGGGAGTGGCGGCGACGATGATTAACAAAAGGCAAAAATTCCGTTCAGATTGAATGTTGACTTAGATCTTTGATAGCAGCCTCGCCTGCGGCCTATTTATTGTTGCCAGTGGATGGAGACGCGACGGCGGTCGCTAAGTTGGATTCGGCAATGTCCAAAGCAGCGGGCTGCCTTTTCTCGACGGCGGGCGACGGAGGACGGATTGGCGGTGATTGACACTGTGGAAGCAGACATTGATTAAATCCTGTCTAAAGAAACTTTTTCTTGAAAAAATTTCTAAAATTTACTTTGCAATAATTATTGAGAAATCAAAAAAAAAAAACCTAAGCTATGACAAGAAGAAGAAGAAGGAGAAGGCAAAATCGAATTGGGGATGAGCGTGAGATTGTGGAGATTAAAGAAATGACAAGGACAAAAATTGTGAACCTAGTGACAAAGAAGACTGTGGACCCTCTGTTTCCGACGAGATTCCCGGCGTAGATGGGCTAGGGAGGGTGGATGTTACGTTGACTTTGCTAAATGACATTTCTACCCCTGTTTTTGACGGTTTAGACGGCAGGAACTAACGGAAGGACGGTAGCACGTTGCAACTCGAAGGACCATGGATGGTAATTACAGAAGTTAGGGACTATAAGTGGTGAAACCACCAAACTCGAGGGACCTTGGCTAGTATTTACTCCATTGTAATAAAAGAAAAATAATTCACCAAGGAAGAAAAGCATGCAACTCACCCAAGATCATAGGTATATAAGCTTGTTTTCCTTACTTGAGAAGGTCCATGTGGGACAAATGTTTTGGTGATTGTTTAAGGGCATCTTTAATGCTTTAAAAAAAAGAGGAGAATATATTTTCTGTATTTAATGAATAATGTCTGAGAGTACAGGGAGCGAATATATAGAGATGCTAGATAGAATCCTAGTCTAACACGAATAATATAGTCCTAGTCTAATATGAATAATAGAGTCCTAATACTCCTCGTCAAGAACAAGTTTGGTCAGCCAAAACATTGAGCTTGGAACGGAGTAAATTAAAACGTACAGACGAAAGAAACTTAGTAAAAATATCCGCTATCTGATCTTTGGTAGAAATAAAATTGACTTGTAATTCCTTCTTTGCTACTTTATCACGAACAAAGTGTTAGTCGATCTCAATGTGTTTGGTGCGAACATGAAACACCGGATTAGCACATAGATAAGTAGCACCCAGATTATCACACCAGAGTTTGGGCGCAGAAGATGGCGCAAACCCGAGTTCCTTCATCAGAGAGACAAGCCAAGTAACCTCTGTAGAAACATCAGCGAGTCCTTTGTATTGTGCCTCAGTTGAGGAACGAGCCACAGTACGCTGCTTTCGACAAACCCATGAGACAAGATTGGTCCCCAAAAACACAGCAAAACCACTAGTAGATTTTCGATCATCAGGATTGCCAGCCCAATCCGAATCAGAATATGCATGAATATCCAGAGAGGAAGAAGGAGTAATTTTAAGACCGAGATGTAGTGTCTCATTTACATACCGTAACACCCTCTTGAGAACCGCCCAATCCGCAGTAGAGGGAGAGTGCATGTGCTGACACAAACGATTGACTGCATAGGAGAGATCAGGACAAGTCACCTAAAGATATTGCAGAGCACCTGCAAAGCTGCGATATTGAGTGGGATCAGCATATGGCACCACGGCACCGGTCTCGGCCTTTGTAATTGAAATCGGGGTGGCCACAAGCTTGCAATCAACCATACCTGCTCGTTTGAAAATATCCTTCGTGTACCGTTGTTGAGACAGAAGCATGCCACCAGACAACGGAATAGTCTCAATACCTAGAAAAAACGAGGGCACTCCCATATCACGAACTTTAAATTCAAAAGCCAGCTTGCCAATAAGATCAGTCACAAGAGCCGAATCAGAACCCATGACTAAAATATCATCCACATAGACCAGAAAATATAGACGAGTATTGCCACGTGAATATATAAATAAAGAGACATCAGTTTTGGAAGGTGAGAAACCAACAGAAACCATAAATCATGCAAACGCGTGAACCAAGCGCGGGGAGCTTATTTAAGCCCATACAAAGAACGTTGAAGGAGACAAACGTGCCCGGGCATCGTTTTGTCTTCATAGCCAGGGGGCTGGCGCATATAAACCGTCTCAGCAAAGTTTCCATTTAGGAAAGCATTGTGAATGTCTAACTGTCGAATAGTCCATCCACGAGAAATAGCTAAGGATAAGATAAGTCGTATCGTAGTCGGTTTAACCATGGGACTAAAAGTCTCAAAGAAATCCTCACCGGCAACCTGATTGAATCCCTTAGCAACTAATCAAGCCTTGTAACGCTCAACCGAACCATCAGCTTTTCTCTTGGTTCTAAATACCCACTTGCAGCCAACCATATTCATACCTGATTTAAAAGGAACGAGCCGCCATGTATTGTTGTGCACCAATGCATTAAATTCCAAATCCATTGCATCCCGCCATTTGGGAATTTGACCGCTTGAGTAAAACATGTAGGCTCAGTAGTGACATCAGTGGATAGAGCAACATGATCATGCGGCCCCGAGCTCCGCGTATTCATCCAGTGAGACCGAACGGGTGTGGTAACGGGACAAGATCGACCACGGGGTCGACCTCTCGGCCGAGCAGGTGGCTGGTCCGTGACTGTCCGCTCGGACTCGGTCACGGACGGCTTGGCAGAGGCGGGCTGATCGCAGTGTTGGTCGGACCTGGCTACGGGCACGGCAGGTTGATCATCAAAGGCCGAGACAGTACTCGGCTTACCACGAGACACAACCGACGCAACACCCATGGCTCCGGGCGTGGTGCGGGTACCTGCGAGTCAACAGAAGCAACAAAAGGAAAGACAGTCTCATCGAATCGCACATGGCGACAGATAAAAACCTTGTTAGTATTAGTGTCTAAACAACGATAGCCACGAAAATATGGGGGATATCCTAAAAAGACACAAGGAGACGACCGAAATTGTAGTTTGTTGCGATTATAGGACGCAGGTTAGGAAAACATAAACACCCAAAAATCACGCAAGTATGAATAAGAGGGAAGAGACCGATGCAAGAGCTGAAAGAAACGCGGAAGGTGACGAAGTAAGAACTAGTAGTTTGTATAACCCACCAGAACTATTGCCCCGAAGAAGAATCTCCTTGGTGTTGATATCCTTCACAACATAAAAGGATGGGTGGAACTCAAAAAATACTTTATTATCAGTAGCAAATTTTTGAATCGATAATAAAGAGGTAGATAAAGTGGGAACATGAAGTATACTAGACAAATGAAACGACCTAGAGGGGGTATGAATGGATGCATGACCAATATGACTAATAGGCAAATCTGTACCATCACCGACACGGAGTGTGTCATTACCATTGTATTCGTCCGAGATAGAGAGTGCTGCTATATCTGGAGTTGCATGATTCGTTGCACCTTTATCTGGGAACCAAGTATGAGAGTCCGGTGACGAATCTAAAAGAGCTCCCTGATAAATTATATTGGCCTACGGATCCTGTTCATACTGTTTGTAACACATGATCGCGGTGTGCCTTAGGATCCCACAAAGCTGACACTTAGGTTGACGATTGCCGTTTCTACCTCCACGGCGACGACCACCATTGCCGCGACGGCCGCCACCACCGCCACGGGATTGCCCAAGTTGACCGCCTGACTGCCCGGAGCCACGCCCGCCGCCCCGCGACGAGCTGCCCTTACCATGATGCTGCTGCCAGATTTCTGGATGGAGAAAGCCGCCGATGATGCGTTCGGTCCCCTACCGCCGGCAACGAATTCCTCGGTGCCGAGAAGGTCCGAGAGCTCGTGTAGAGTAACCAGTGTGTCGCGGACGTTTAGAGAAGACACGAGACCTCAGAATTCGGGCTGTAACCCCCTGAAAACGTATAGATTTTGTTCTTCAAGAGAGGCATGCTGGCCAGCGAGAGTAAGATCTTCTATGAGAACCTAAGCTCGGCCAATATAATCTGCAACAGAGGCATCACCCTGCTGAAGAGTTTGAAGATGCCCGAGGAGGTTCAATGTGCGAGACCGCGATGATGAAGCCAGGGCAGAGGTAACGGCTGTCCAAACCGCATGGCTCGTGTGATGCCTGATCGCCAAGGCCATAACTTCATCAGATAAAGAGGAAATGAGCATGGAGATGAGTGTTTGATCCTGACGAACCCATGTGGAGCGGTCAGGGTTCGGCCGCGGCAACGCCCCTTCCTCGCCGGTCGAAATCGTGGTTGGAGGACAAGGGTTTGATCCGTCAACGAAACCCGTTAGATCATGTCCATTGAGAAAAGGAACAACCTGAGCTCACCAGAATAGGAAGTTCCGATAGGTCAGCTTGACGTTGATAAAGTGGTGAGCGGTGGACAGGGTGTTCACGGTGGCAGTGACCGATGAGATAGCAGCATTGGAAACGGTCGTTCGGAGGAATTGACAGAATCGTTGGCCATGGGGAATAAACCCTAGCTAGCTGATACCAGATGAGAGCTGTAAGGAATTGTATTAACAGTAATAGTTTACAAGAGTACCGGACATAAGTATATATACAAGAGGAGATAGAGAGAGACTAGGATTGGGAATCATAAGTAGACTCAAATATATAGATAGAGTCATAATAGTGAGTTTTTCTCGTCATTAAAAAAAAAAAAAAAAAAGAAAAAACAAAAATAGGAAAAGAATACATGGGAGAACATATTGTAGAGTAGTACTAATAAAGTGGTTGAGCCATACCTCTCAGAATGTTTATATCCTGCGCTGCGCTATAAGACATTTGATAAAGATACTTTCATCCCTTAGTGATCTACGGTGCACGAACGCGACAAAAGTATCAAAACTTTCCAATTATAGAATAATCAAGTGGATAGATATTATCCTTAAAATAAAATATGAATGGGAAATTTTTAGATAATTTTTTGAGCTATGGGTCGCTTTGGGTCAAGATTTTTTATTGTTTGACTCGACTTAACTTATTTTAAATTTTGATTGCGCCATTTTCAATCCGTACAATCTAAATAGTAATCGGAGTTATGGTGAGCTAGTCCGCTCATTTGACACCACTTAGAAGATGGGGAGTGAAAGAACTGAATATGAGAGAGGGATTGTCCTCCGAGTAAATATTTCGAGAGACATTTTTTTTAAAATCAAAATGAACCTTTTTTCTTTGATAAAAATGGTTATTTTTTCATTGACTCCATTTTCATAAAAAGAGCACACCTATAAATAAGATGTTCAATATAATTAATCACTACTTGATGTGTAATTGTTTTACTAGATGTTTTTTAATATTTAATTATTTTGTAGATCTTTATTAACTAATCATAGGCCAGTTAGCCAATTTACAAGTAATCCATGACAATAAAAAGTTTTTCATTTTTTAATTAATGTCAAGTTATGCAGTAATTTTATTAAGGGGTCGCAATTTTCAAAATGAAATATGGCTAATTATGAACTCAAGGTCCAAAAAGGAAAAAACATTTATGTACACAATTGTTTGAGGAATAAAGTTTAGGGATGGCAATTTCAATCCACCCCGCATATATCCACCCGAATCCATTCCGTGTGGGTCGAGTTTTTTTGGGTGGTAGTGGGTGATGGGTCGGGTGTGTGACTTAAAAAAGTAAACCCGTGGTGGATCGAGTTGGATTCGGGTTCTATGTACAAACCCGCCTAGAACCTCACCCGACCCACCATGTAGTTATTTATAAGAGTTTCTATGACTTTATGTAAATTTTTACTATTTTTATATCTAAACTACAAAGTTTATTTTTAAAATTAACAATTTAGTTATTATATTTAAATATTTCTATTATTTTATGTTTTAGTACAACTAATAAATTTTATTATTTTATTATGTGTAAGTAATTTAAATATTTTTTTTAAAAAAAATAAGATTATAAGTGGTACCCGTATTGGGCACCTGCACCCGGTGGTGGTGGTGGTGGATTTTGAAAAAGTCCACCCGATGCGGGTTGGGGGTGGGGGTGGGGGTGGGGGTGGGTGGAGAAAATATAAGGTGGATTGGGTGATGGATATAGCCCTCCCCGACCCACTCCCGACCCATTGCCATCTCTAATGAAGTTTGAGGCATTTGAATGCAAATTATATTGTGGACTAGGATTCACCTAGCCATCTTACATAACTACATTATTTTATATAGTTAATTTCCAAAATAGTCCTCCAACTATAATTTTTTTTTTTAAATTGGTTCTTTGACTTTTAATTGCACCCAAAGTGGTCATCCAACTATTGAATTTTAAGCTGAAATGGTCCTCTGTTAGTTTTGGTGTTAAATGAGTGTTAAAATGAGGGGTAAAATTGGTAATTTAGGGTTTTCACTATAGTCAAAGGACTACTCTGAGTGCAATTAAAAGTCAAATGATCAATTTGAACTATCTTTTTTTTGAAGGTCAATCTTGCGATTGTATTAATGAATCAAAGCCGAAATAGCGTCAGGTGGGATAGCATCCCAGTACATAGCTTGATCCTGTGTAAATGCTAACGTAGCTAAAGTATGCGCATGTAAATTAACCTGTCTAGAGATGTAATCCAAAGTAATACGATTAAATAAAGACATAAACGTTCTGCACTGGTCAATCGTGACCCCAATGTACGAATGGATCGGCGTGTGATGGTGTCGGATAATTGTAGCCAATTCCATGCAATCCGTGAGTAAACTTACTGATGTGTTGTTTCGTTCAAGTAGCCAGGATAGTGCTTCCTTGTATGCCTGAGCCTCCGCCATAAGTGGTGAAAAACAAATCGGTAATTTGCCATTCCTTGCTGCCACAAAAGAGCCATCTGGCGCTATTATTATCATGCCGTACGTAGCCTCGCCCGTGTCGTGCCGGAAACCCGCGTCCATGTAACACCGTAGACCGCCCTCTCCTACACCGTTTAAGTGCTCCGTTGCCGCTGCCAGCTCGGTTCGGCGGACATGGGCAGCGCCGTATGCCTGTAGTGTTACGGTGGCTGCTCTGGCTAATTGGGCAGGCCGCATCATTGATCCCTTCCAGACAGCTGAATTCCGGGTTCTCCAAATATAATATAATATTGCTACCATTAACCGGGTCTGCTCCTCCGTTAAGGCCGCCATAGCCCCTTTTAGCCATGTTGTAAAAGAGTCTGCAATAATATTAGTAATAGGCAATTGTGGTATATTCCAAACAAGTCTAGAATATTCACAGAGTACTAAAGCATGCATCACATCTTCATGATCTAAACCACACATTGGGCATGTTGGGTCCACCTCCACCCTTTTAAATATCAAGTTAAGGGTTGTTGGCAAAATGTCACATATGGCTCTCCACAAGAAAGTTTTCCACTTGGGGGGACTTTTATTTTCCACATTGCAACCCATTTATCAAAATTTGCTGGATTATTCTCATAATCACCCACAATATGCCTATAGGCATTCTTTACTGTATATGTCTCCTTGGGGTCACTCATCCAATACCATGAGTCCTCATACTCAGGACTCACAGGGATCATATTTATTCGCTCCACATCCTCAGGAATAAATAAGTCAGACAAAATATGTGGATCCCAGGTATGAGTTTGTAAATCAATTAATCCTGCAACTCGTGCCTCTCTCAATTGCTGTGGCATTTCTGTTTGAATCAACGGGCTAGGATTATCTCGTAACCACGGATGTCCCCATATTAAAGTTGTCTGCCCATTCCCAATTCTCCTTCGCACCCCTGAGACTACCATTGCATGAGCTGCCATTATACTTCTTCAACAGTAACTTGGGCAATTACCAATAGTTGCATCTGTAAAACTGGTTGTGGGATAATACCTTGCCTTATAAATTTTAGCCACGAGTGATCCTCGGTCCGTCAAAAAACTCCATGCCTGTTTACCCAGCATAGCTAGATTAAAAGCCCTTAGTTCTTTAAAACCCATACCACCATACTTCTTTGGTATGCACAACCTATCCCATGCCTTCCAATGTATTCCCCTTTCTCTTCCATTCCCCCACCAATATTTATTCATAGTTCGCTCAATTGACTGACAAACTGTCTCAGGTAGCAAAAAAACACTCATCGAATAGGTAGGCATAGATTGCGCTACACTTTTCAATAACACTTCCTTTCCAGCCTGGGAAAGTAACTTTTTACTCCACGAACCAATTCGTTGCCTGATCTTTTCCTCCACATACGAAAAAACAGCTCTCTTATTTCTCCCTACAAAGGAAGGTAGGCCCAAATATTTCCCAAAATTAGGTGCTTGCACCACCCCCAGACAATCCGCTATGTGCACCCTGTCAGCCTCCTGGGTATTTCTGCTAAAACATATATTAGATTTATTATAATTCACCACCTGGCCTGACAATTTCTCATACCTTGCAAGGCACTGTCTTATAACTCCCGCCTCCTGGATATTTGCTTTAAAAAATAGGAGACTATCATCCGCAAAAAATAGGTGCGATACAGGTGGCGCCCCCCTTGCAACTCTGCACCCATGTATTGAGCCTGCCAACTGTTCATACTGTAATATCATCGATAGAGCCTCTGCACAAATAATAAATAAATACGGAG